TTTCTATTTCGCGTATAAGCACCTCGTAAATTTGACTCAGCTCGGCAAACGGGCGCTTGTTTTGTGCTCTCTGGGCAGAAACCCGCTCGGGTAATTCTGCAATGCGGTTGAAGGTGCCTATACCTACCCCGGGTATGTATATATATACCCCTAGGACACCACCTCCTACCTCTGCCACCTCCACCAGCTCCGCCACCTCCACCACCTCCGCCACTTCCACCGCCGCCCGCAGGGGGTGACGCCGGCCTACGTACGGGCTGGGTAATTCAGTGCGGTAAACTTGAGCAGACGGCATACAATATGTAGATGCGAACGGGCCTCGTCCACCTGCAACCCTTAGTCTTTGCGCGAGTATAAACCTCCAAGGCCTGCCAGCCTTCTGTCTCTCCCTGGGCTCGCGTCAAAGCGAGGACCCGATAGGTGACCAAGGCACGAGATCTGGACGAAACCCCATAACATGGATTCACGTGGCACGTGAGCCCATATATAAAAGAGTCCACCGCGTGGATTCTGATTTTTCAGAATATACGTCATGGATCCTGGGGATCCATTACCTCGGATTCTGAAATTGGAGATGGATGCTTCTATAATTTAATTAATAATCTTGTAGTCGGTTTTAGGACACGTTATGGGGTCCCGGGCTAGTCGAGGGCTCTAGCCGATTGGGGAATTTCCTAGGAGTTCCCAAGTCCCGACGTTTGCAGGTCTCTATCTCGTTAATTGATATCAGTTGCAAGTTCGCAGCGGGGGGCGGCGCAGCTGCGACTCTTCTTTAAAGTTCGTTAAAGTAAGTGCGCCTTGGAGGGTGGGTTATATGTGACTGCGAGAGGGCAGGGGGTCGAGGGTCCGAGAGAAGGAGACACTGAGATATATATTTATCACGAGCGTTTAATGCGATCTCGAGTAATTATTCACGTTGGCTTGGCTAGGGATCGAGCTCTCGAAAACTTTTCCCCTCCCTCGCTCCGGCTCGTCGTCTTGCTTCCGTTGCATTTCTGCATCTCCGAGGAGGAGGGCGAAAAATATAGGATAATGGAGGAAGAGGGCTTGATAGATTTAGATTTTTACCCGACCCCGCCATCGACCGTTCCTTCTCTCCGAACCGCTTTACCTCGACATCGTTTCGTTTCGCTTCTTCGCCGGAAAGACTGCAAGGGGAAGGTTTCCTTCGGGAACTCTCGCATTTTCGAATGCAATTAGCATGGCGAAAAACCGCTCAGTTTTTCTCAATACGCGATTAAGTTGGGGGCTTGAAGTGCATCTTAGGTATTTTAAAAGCTCTCGGGGTGGAGCACCTGGTCCGATGAGTCGAACGAAAGCTCTTAAACTTTTCGACTCCCTTAAAAACGGCCAATTGAAGATCACCCGGTTACAGATTTCGCGTTCCGGGATCTATCACGGCGGATTGGGACCTTAAACGTTTTGCTAACACCCCGGGCGAAATTCGTGTAAATGCAAAACAGCCTTTGTCGGTTCCCTGAATTTCTCAACGTTTCCCATGATTTCCCCAAAGACCCATATTTTTGGTAGGTACAACGAGGTGTACAAAAATAGTCGGTTTCATGCGATTAAATTCGTACCGGGTTCTGGGGCATTTCACTTTAATTTTTGCATCTCTATTTTTATCTTCCCGGTATTTGTAGCGAATTCGGAGCCCCTTATCTGGGCCCCGGGAATCTTTATTTCCGGTTAGTTCAGGAGCAAGTACCTACCGCGAGATTACTGCCGGTCCATGTTATTCCCATCTGTGTATATCTTACTTGTAACTGGGGCTGTATATGCGATTATCAACCATAACTTCGCGGGCTATCAGTCGATGCGCCGCCCTCGAGGGATTTACCTGAATCCACCCCCCCGGAAGTGATGTCCTTCGCGCAGGAAATAGTCCTGGGGTTATGGAGGAAATCCATAAAGTACGATTGTCCTGCGTGGGCATACCGTTAAGGGTTGTTTGACAGATTGTGAAAGGGTTGGAACTCCGCAGACGCGAGGAGGCCCTTACACCTATCACGTGACGATACGTTCTCATTAAAATTCATAAGGCGCTCGCCCATTCCCGCTTTAGCACCCTTGCTGGGCGAGATATGTATTATATATTTATGGATCCTCGGGAATATATGCGACGAACATGTGAACATATGGATGCCCGGCATATGTACATCGCGCGACATATTATTGCCGCACTGAGTAATTGGGAGGTGAGAATTTACTCTGCATGCGTACCGAATGAACCGGTATAGAAAGACACCCTGAGTCTGTTCTGCATAGATATCAAGACTGGGGGATCTTCTTGGATGGAATGGTTGACACCGAAGGACGAAAGTGCTCGTATAAATTCACCCTGGATTGAACTGAAATTAATTTTTACGGTAATAATTAATTTACAATGGGAATTAATTTCTGTTCCTTCGTATATGAATATTGCAGGGAGGAAGAGTTTTCTTTAGAATCAGCGATTTCCGTCCGGAAATCATGCCCAATCCGTTATTTCCCGAGGAAAGAGTTTTACTCCCCCGGTAATAAAGCCTGGCATCGTAGGCATAAGTTATTCACTCTAGCAGAGCGGAATTAAGTCCCGCGTGCATTACAGGATCTATTTATTTCCCCGACAATCCCTCGCGGTTGGCTCTCGCTTTACGATTCATTTTCCGGCCTCGGTTCCGCAGACTCGGCCTAATCTGAGCTAACCTAAATTGAACTAACCTAACTCGTCCGAGAGTTTCATCCTTCGCGGCTCGGAGGCGTTTTCGCGTTTTCCAATCTCCGAGGCGCTCCTTCCGCGGGAGATCTACCAGGGATTCGTTTTCATTTCCCGGTAGCGCAGTTCTCGTCCCCAAGACAGTGCATCCTGATTCCCTGAAGTGCATCGCACCGCTAAGGGAATCAACCGCACTCCTCGGAGGATGCATCGTAAAATCGTTTACAGGATATTCCGACGTTTCCGCGCGGAATTGCCAGCTAGGGATCGTATACCCTTGAATATCCCCAGCCGAGTCCAAGGAAATCGTGACCTAGTCAAAGTGTTCGACTCGGATCTTTTCTGGGGTATAAATTCTGCTGTTAAGGCAAGGTGGAAGACCAGATGGTGCCACTGATCCGGAAGCTCGAGTCATTTTTTTAGGTTACGTCGTTTTCGCATTTCATGTTCGGAATACGTAACGAAATCGAGGAGAGTGCGGGGGCATTTTGCAGAAAATCTAGGAAAAAGGCGGCTGAAGTATCGACGTGGGGAGATTTATGGTCATTTTTCATTATCCCGCTCTTTTCCGTGGATTTACGTGCGTGGGATTTTGTCACGCCTTTTAGGAGACAGTTTCTACGATTTTATAGGGATTTATGAGGTGAGAGTCGAGAAAACCAATATGGCCGGTTACTGAGTCGGGTGAAACGATTAAATCTGCGTGTTTCCTGGAGAGAGACGGTCATTGCTTGTTGCATTTCAGGGCACGAGGAGGTTCACTGGAGAGGAAATAGATGGAATAAGAGAAAGAGAAAGGGGACCGAGGGAAAAGGAGAAAATTGAGAGTAAAGCGCCGAGGTGGCGAACCCCGGCATGAGAACGCGGATATTCATTACACTGGCGGCATAAATCAAATTTTATTCAATTTGCTCGAGATTTCGGCGTCGTCCAACGTAAGAGGCGACATGGAAAGGTGGTTATCGAGGGAGAAAGACGAAGGAGAATGAGGCAAGTGAAGGAGTTAAAAAAGGAAGACGGGTTATCGGGTTTCTTGGTCTGTAGGATGTAGGGGGCACTGGAAAGTAATTTCGATTTTTATCGGTTATTACTACCGCGAAGTCGTAGAATAAATTCCAATAAAATTATTACTGCTGAAACTGACATTTCCCAGAAATCCTCCACCGTGGGTTGCTTCGGAATTAATATTTTATGTTAAATAAATAAGATTTCCAAAAAGTTCAGCATCTGTAATTGCCTGTCAGGCTGAATCCTCCAGTGGAGAAGCTCGTGCCCGAAGTCCTCTCATGAAATCTAAATAGTCTTCATGAAGATAACGTTATAAAAATAGAGTTCCGCTTGAGGAACAAAAGTCGACGAAGACCCCTCGCGGGGACTTCTGAAAGATGCAAGTCGACCGGCAGAAATTTTGGGAAATTTCTCCTCGTGGGAAAGTTACGGCCTCGGATCTCGAGCCGTGCATCTGCGGCCAATTTTCCAGGGAATTTTAAAATCCTCGGAAGGCTGCCAACTGTTCAAACTTTTAGAGCTGATTATCTTTTGCGTCTTTTACCCGCGACCTGTCCCGAGACGTTTTGGAAATAGCCGATCGATCGCCGCCGACCTCGTCGTCGTGGGACATTGTATTAAATGCTAATCCGACATCGTTGGGCATTCCGACTGTGTCAAATATCTAACGCGTCGAAATAATTGACTCGTGTCAGGCAACATAATTGTCTAACGCTGCTTATTGAATCATCTTGATCCACTCTGGGACATGGGACATGCACGATGGCTCGGCAAATGTCGGCAATTCGAGGCCCAGGGGGGAATTATTTTGTTCCGTTTACTTAGTCATAATAGGTATTGCGCGGCCTTCTATCACGATATTCGTCTATTTTCCTCGATTAACATCAACTTATAATTGGACACCGGTCCTTTCATCGCGAACACCATGAAAATCAATAGATGACAAAAATGCTTTAACGCGTTCCACCGTAGAAAAAAATCACTTTAGCTCAGTCTTCATCCTAATTTAAATATCAGTTTCTATAATAAACCCATACCTTGCGGTACAAGTACATGGAGCCAATTTTCCAGTCGCTATTGTTTCCTTTGTTACTCAACCGAACCGCAACCACTTGTTCTACAAACATATTTGCAACATCATCACGGAAGAATTCGAATGTACCGAAAACCAAGTTGCATTGTATTCAATTTAATTTGAAAAATCGTAGGAAATGTTATTTCCAAACCGCGGACTAATGTTAAAATATATCCTGATATGCATTATGACTTAAGTATATGATTATTCGTTTTTCAGAGATGCTTGTCACGACGCTTGGACGCAATTGCGTTTGTCCCCGATGTTTGGTTGCATATGTCCAAACAATCACATGAAGCGACGCTGCGACAAGATATTTTCCATGGTGAACCATAATCCATGTGTCGGTGAGTTTTGAACAGAATTTCAAACAACTATCACGATGTGTTGATCTCTATTCTCGAGTGTATATACTCATACATCAATATATATTAAATGCGTATACATATATACATGTATATGTAAACGCATCCATACACATACTTACGTTACATACAATATACATATTATGTATGAATGCTCGGAGTACGTAGCACTTTGGAAGGATTGTCGATGTTGTGTAAAATCATTTTTTATTTACTGTCCTTTTTTATTCATCGCCTAGTGTACGTACGAGGGCAGTTATGAGATAACTGCTTCGAAAACCGATTATCTTCGTTAATCGATAGGTAAGTACTGTACAAAGAACGTGGAATACAACTTGGAATACTATTTAATCTCCGAGAAAGCACTTTATACTTTTAGCAATGTTCTCGCGAAATGACACGCAAAACCCCAAATATCGTCCAGAAGGCCTTCCATTTCCGTTGAATTCATTTCGCATTGTCCAGGAAATTCATTATCGTGCGAAATTCAACATACAGACCGTGACTCATTTGGTGCTCGTAGTTGGGAAAAGGCGGCCATGTTCGGCAAACAACTCGACTGTTTCGGCGAAATGATGGCCGCCCCCTCCTAGGGGTAAGATCGGTATCAACGCCTCGAAGGGTTGCAGAGTTTGCTAATTAAAGGCCGTACTAATGGCCATCTCGTATAGCTGACTAAACATTTCTTCGAGTAATAGCTAGCAAACCCTAACTACCGAGGAGTCATTTATTTAGGATTTATGACATCGATGTATTACCGATTTCTTGGTCTCACCTCTACCTCGAAACTACCCTTCATAGTCTGGTTTTCTCGCAACGTAATTTTTTAATCCAAGTAGGAGACAAGATCATACCAGGTACTCGAAAAAGAAATTAGACCCCGTGTACGCAACGTCCTCGCTCACCCCTCTACACGACCCTTAAGACCCTGACCGGCAAGGGTTCGGGCAAAGGACAGTCGCCAGGGTGTAAGTAACCCTACTTTATGACTCGCAGCCCTCGGCAAGGCCGTGCTCGACCCTGATAAGAGTAAGTGGCCTTCGGCATTGAATCCCGTCGCGACATCGATCAGAGATGCGACGGGCTCTTAGGGGATCTTCCTCTAAATTTTTAAAAAAGCAAACCACGCCCCGTAGGCATCTCTAATCGCGACGGAAACACCCTCCACCAGGAGACGCGTACGGCCGTCACCCCGTCACGAGTGAAACGGCCACATCTCTCGAAATGTCCCATTTTCCATCTCTAGCCTCCCCAGAATGCGATTCTGCGAATACTTTGCAGGCAATCCGAACTATTCGGCTCTGAGATGTAGACATCGCGAGGTGCACCCTGATGGTTAATGAGTACAGTATCCGATGGGCACAGTGGCTGACCAAGATGTTCGGTCTTCGCCCTCGATTTTGTCCCTTAACACAAATCCCGGTCCTTGAGATCGTTCTCTGCCGGACCCGGGTCCAACCGCCGGTGACAAACCCTCAGGAACCGGCGTTAATCCAATCGCAGGAGTCCAACGAAAATTGGATCAAGCCTTGAGAGATCGAGGTCGATCGCTCGATCGACTAATGGAGAACCGGGCTCTGGTTTATCGTCGATCGAACAAATCGATGAAATTCTCTTTGCCGTCCGAGTCCTTCCCGCCGGTAATGCCGGCAGGCATCGAGCAATTTCATCGGCAAGGACTGTTTTCCTTTGATGTGCCGTTCCCCAGGATCGACTCCTCTGTCCTCGTATTTCGTTCCGACACCCTCATCTGTACGCGAGTACCTCTATTTGTCCGTGTGTCATCTAGGCACGTATTCGTGTACCTGTATAAAGCCGTCGGTGGCAGTCTCGTAGTAAATTCTTTGCACCTTCGGGTAATCACCCGCGTCTCTCGTTGGATTTGCGGAGCGTCTCTTTACAAGATGCGAATTACGTGCCCTCGCTGTCACGCTGATACATTTGCTAATGGACTCCGTGAAAGATACTTCGATGAAGGTGCTGATACCGCGATATCTTTGACCAATGGTGCGGCATGACGAAATGAACTTTACACGTGTAGTTTACACTCCGCATGACGTTCTCCGGTATAAGGTCGGAGTTTGTAGCTACTTTGTATGAAATTCGGCGTTAAACTCGTGTACTTCGAGTCAAAATAAAAAGAAGCGCTCCGTTGCGTTGGTCTATTAACGTAAATGCGGATTTTTTCTAATCACCGTAATATGCAAAGTGTAATGGTATCTCTTAGAAAAGACCACATTTTTAGCTCGTTTCTTCTGTTAATTCGGGGAATAACTCGCGAAAAGAGGCATGAAATCCCGCACTGCGATTCGTCGCGTGGAGGTTAATTATAAATCTCATTGAATTAAGTGCTCTAGAAATGTGACGAAAAATTCCAGAGACCGGCTTTATTAAAGAAGAATAAATTTTTAACAAAGTAGCGAAAGACTCAATTACGAAAATAAAGTCTCATGGAGAGCTCTGCGTGCTCGGATGTCCGAGTCCTTTTTCGTTTCATTTTCTCCGAGCGAAACGGCGCGGAAAGAATGTGCGTAATGTGCGGAGCGTTATCATTTTTAGCGAAGCCTTTATGCATTTTATTATTTGGGTAGCGTTCCCGCCGGGAAGGTAACTTTGACGAACATTGGCGGTTGCGAAACGAAATTTGGAATTTAATGCCGCCACTGGTTTAAATCTTCCACTTCTAAATCAAAGCATTAGATGTCTTTAAATTTTGAGCTACCGAACAATGGCCGTGGAATGAATGGACCATATCGGAAAATTGTATATCATTGCGTCGTTGCTATATTCGATGCCGCATATATATCGAAGTGTCACCCTAACGATTAACATGACGTGATAATATCAATGGTTCCCCACTGCATTGAATGAAAAATTAATAACGTAGTAAACAACGCCGGGCGCTCCACCCTGCCTAAAAATTAATATATTCTCTATCCACCACGTGGTCGTCCGTTTTCTGCGACAGTCATTGTGCCGTTGATAATGATTATTCATTTTTAATTAGCACTTTACGTTATACAAATAAATCGACGAGACGAATGCGTACTCGAGGACGAATTCAACGGTACGACGGAATTTTCTCTCGGGGCGTTCAACGGAATTACGAGGGAATGTACATCGTCCAGGGGAACATGGACACCTTGGCGAAAAAAGAGAAAAGAAAGAAAAAAAAAAAAGAATCACGCAGGGAAATGAAATCGACGAAATAACGAATCCTGAAGCCACCGGAGGGACTGTGGATCCTGACAATCCTGGAATGCAAAGTGCACCATTGCACCTGCAACGCGTCACGTTTGCACGTGCACCAAGCCACCTGCACCTGTACTCTGCCTAAAACGGCAAGGAAAGGTCCTCGCCTTCGACTAGAAGAATTTATTCCCCGGTGAAACTGCAGTCCAGACCATAAGGATTTACTGCACCGTTCTCGAGTTTAACCACGCAAAATTCGTTTTTATCGCCCTCGTTGCGACGACGAACGTTTCCAGGGAATCCTGAAATCTTTATTTCGGCCATACGCCCACGGAAGATATTTTCGAGAACGAGACGATATCTTCTTGGCAGAGTACATCGAGAAGTGTTTTGCACCGCATGACGAACTTCTGCATGGGATACTTTCGGTTTCGTCTTTATATTTCTTTCCTTTAAGGGATTTCTGTTCCACGAGTTTTTTCTTTCTCAATTTCAAGCCTGTGCATTTGTCCGTTAGTGGGTAGTTTGTTCGTCTCTTACACTCTCCTCGCACTAATTTAGTACTTCTCAACACGAACTCCAAGCGTTTCCGAGTTATCGCAAACGACATGGTCATACCGTGACGTTAAAATAATTGCTACACTGTAATTGGATTTTAAGAAGCAATTTTTAAAATTAGCGAATTTATCAAAACGACTCGGTGGAAAATTTGAAACTGGTTAATTGACACGTTGGTCGCTTCATAGAGGTTCTTACAAAAGATTAATTTATCCAGATTCGGTTTATATACTTCAGTGCCCGAGTCATTTACGCTGGGAAGTAAACGTTGGATCGTCGATTCGAAAAATTGTAACGCGTTCGAAATACAGACAGCGATTGGGAATCATTGTCGAGAACGTCGTGACCATCGTGAAAACGGAACCTCAAAATTCTATGGGATGACCATGACCACCTTAAGGGCCCCTCGCGTAAGAGTCCAACGACGAGGATTTAAGTAAAATCGTAGAATCTCGATTTCTAAGAGATGAAAAAGTACATCGGTAGCCCTATTCCCTCGCGTCCATAATAAAAAAAAAAATACATTTTAACGAAGTAAGAGAATTTCCTGCGGTAGTCTCTTATTGGAGGGGCCCGAAGACAGCACCACCGGCATGCCCCCAGTGCACTTCGAAGACGAGCGCACTGACCCCCACCCGGCGCCTCTCTGTTCTTGTGTTTCAGAGTTTCTACCCTCCGCGTCCGTAGACCTATCGGGGACCGACTCCGCCCTCTATCCGTTCGACCCCCAGCAGGAGAACTTTCAGGAGTTCTGGTTGCCCCCGACCAGTATGTACCCCTACTTTCTGTTTCCCGCGAGCGCCACCTCGCGGAGCCTGTCGGAGGCGGCCCGTCCTGCCCACCCGGGGGGCGCCCGGGTGCGAGAGGAGGTCCCGGAGCTTCCGGGAGCCTGGCCGGGGCCCCCCAGCTGGGACCTGGACGGGACCGCGCCAGGGCCTCGCCAGGTCGGCGAGTACGAGGACGCGATCAGCGCGGGGCCAGGGAATGGCTTCGAGGGAGACCTCGATGCCGCCGCCGAGCATAAGCATGACCGTGCCTCCAGCACCGAGCACCTGCAGCACCTCGGCACGAACGAGCATGACCTCTATCGGCACGAAACCACCAAGTTGCACTCGCACCACCGCCACGATCACCACCACCACCACCACTACCTCGCACCTCGTCCCACCCCTACCGTAGACGAGACTTTGCTGGCGCCGGGCCGCCCGGTGGACCAGCCCAACCGAGACGGCGATCTCGGGGACCTCGCGAGAACCGGAAGACTGCCGGTCGACCGAATCTTCGACCTCGGGGAGGCCTTCGACGGCTTCGTCGACCAAGGTTTGTACCGTCCCCGGGGTGTCCTTTGACACCCTCGCGCGTCTTTCGCCTCTTGCGTTGGCATTTCACGGCCGCAAGGGTTGGAGGCCACCTATCGATTCGAGTCCACGCCAGGGGTCGAAGATCCGGGGGAAGAGGTGTCGGGTATCGCGTCCGATCACCGAGGTGGACGCGCAAAAGGCGACGTTCCAGGGCGACTGGAGCGTCCAAGAGACGCGACTCCGACGCAAGGGGTTGGGCGTTCGAGGGTTAGGGCTGAGCTCCGAGGGGCGAACGCTAGACGGTCGGAGGACGACCCTGCTCCTCGTCCTGGGGGAGCCTTCGATGGCTTCGATGGATCGGGTTCACGACCCGGACGTGGGACTGCCTTAAAACGGTCTCCACGCATCCCCTAGACGTACGCAAGCCTCGTGGACGTGGTCTTTATCGTGCGTGGGACTTCGGACGGTTTCGATGATCGGGCTCGTATCGCGCCTCCGGGGTGGTCCATGGCCGTTCTTCCGATATCTGGAGGATGTCGAAGAGTCGGGGATCTAACGATCGGGAGATGCAAAAGCGGGGAAGGAAAGTCGGATTTCCTGGAGGAAGAAGCCAGACTTCTTCGTTTCGCGCCTACGAGACGACGCCCCGGAGAAGATAGGACGTTTCGTTGATAACCCGGTTTCTTCTTTCAGGGAACTCTCTACCTTGCGAAAGAGAATTGCAGCGAGTTTTGTTGAGTTAATCGTAGCCTTGGACCCCACTTCCTGGACGGATGCTGATATCGGTTAAGGGCCTTTTTTACTAATGATCGTGGCACCGAACTTTTACAGTGAAGGTCATCTCCCACCCTGATAATTCGACCAGCCTAGAGTTCATCGAGTCCCAGGTGGAAAATCCATTGATAGACGCCGATCACCAGGACCTCGATGCTCTGAAGCAGCTGCCCATTCCGGGGATTCAGCATCACCGAGGACATCATCGGAGGAATCAGTCTTTGGAGGATCAAGACAGTGAGTATTTGCCGTTTCCGTTTCTGAATTCGATTTTTGGATACTCGACGTTAACGGCGAATCCGCGGTTTAGCCTGACTATCAACTTCCGCTTATCAAATTTTTATTGTCTTTTTTTTTTTCCAAGTTTGCGAGGCGTAATTATCTCAATTAAGAGATCTCGAAAGGAAATCGCTTAACCGAGGACTCTTAGGCCTCGGTAACGCAGAAGACGCCGTTTCGTCAACTCTCCGCTATCTGTCCGGGGTGGGCGGTGGCGCGAATTTATCGCGTGGGAAAGTTTAATTTAATTTCGAGGACGGGCCGCGTCTCATTTCCGGTGCATCCGCATGCGCAATATTATTTCCCGGCGTCGAAATTCGAACTTTAATTCGAGATACTCCGGGGCCGGGAATTCTCCGAAGTTCCGGGATAACCCGATATCGCGAGTCCCCCCCAAGTCTGTATTTCGCAAAACCTTGGGATACCTTCGAGAATCTCGCGAGGGGACCCTCCAAATCTTCCCCGCAGGACATTTTTCACTTCCGGAAGTGTACCCGAAACTTATCCTATTCGTCCCTCTCACCTTGGCGGAGCGGATAAATTGCTTCCTCCCCCGAGTTTCGTATAATTTATTTTCATTTATTCGATAAGCTTGCCGAAGAAAAAAAAAAAAAGAAAATCAATTTGACAAATACTTGGCATTTTCAAACGCTACGGGCCCTCGAGAATAAATCCCTGTTAGGGTCGACGGTTATGCGAGCATTCCTCCCCTTTATTAAAACCGAGTATTCGCATTAATTGCAAGTGCCCGACGCTTTCCCGCGAGATCGGCGTTACGATAAGCAGAAACTCGACGCGGCGGCACCTTCGATCGTTAATCTCCCCCGGGGCCATAGAGTGAGAAATTTCTGAGCTCGGTCTCGTTTCGTAACCACGGACAAGCCAGGCTGGAACGGAGCTTCGATCCCTCGTCGGATCGTCGCCATGCCGTTGCGGTTAAGATCGGTTGTAGTTCCCCGCCAAGTAGCCATTTCCCTCGTGGTCGCCACCACCGAATCCACCTTATCGTCGCAAGTGCACACACCTCGACCTCCTTCCCCAGTCCCCCAGAAACGTGCAATGTGCCCGTCATATTAGTATTCTTGCACCCTGGTATTCATTCCTGGGCAACACGTATGCCGGAAAACGTTTGGTGGTAAATTTAACGCCAAAATAACCGGAGGTTACGACGGATGTACAGGTTCGTCCTCGGTCGGTGTTAACGTACGGTGTAAACGAGGAGTACTCGAACAGTCGGTGTTTAATCGGCATCGAACGCGATATCACCGGGCGCGACAACACTCGGTACATTATATGGACGAATCATATAATGTACGATGTTATCAAACGTCATGTTGGGCAGTGAATGCCGAAACGTCACCGATCGGTCCTCGGTTCCCGGACGAGTGTAAAGATTTATGGAAGCATGGCGAAAATATTAGCGGTGGATTTAACCACAGTCGAAAATGATCTAGGAGCGAACGGAATTGTGGTCGGTCAATTTTTGGAAAAATCGATCTCACTCGTCCCACCGATCGATCGATAGGCTTCCAAAAATAAGAGGGGGGATATTTTCATTACTCGCGTTCGAGGATGGCGGCTCGAAATCGTCGCTTGTTATCGATGAGAGGGGGTTAAACAAACGGTGTGGGCCACCGCAATTGTGTCGCGAGAACGTGAACCGTAATGGCGTACCTAGTTCTCGCGTACACGTAAATCCACTTTGTCTACGAGTACGCATGCGGCCAAGAGAGGGTAGATGGACAAAAAGATAGAGGGAGACAAAGCGAAGCAGACCGACAGAGACGAGTAAAAGGGGAATATTTACCCGTAGACTTTACACCGAAAAATGGTCGAGTCGAGTAGATCATCAGTGCCGAATTTTGGGGCGGTAATAAAACAGTCCGATCTTTGACAATTACAGGTGTGTTCGTGATATTTATTTCCGGGTTTTCATAGGCAGGTCCGATAACGATATCGAGCGGAATTGCAATACCATGGCTGGTTGATTTCTGGGAGCGTCGTTAGGAATACATCGGCAGTTGCAACAAAGGCCAATCAATCACGGGGTTTAATGATGGTTTATCGGTGTTTTATTATGCATGAAAATGTAGCGTTTTGCTGCATCGACAGTTTATACATAAACGGTTTAATAATTGTTTGTCTTGTATTCGGAACGATGGTCGAAGGTGACGAGTCAAAATACCGGCATCGGCAGGAATTATACCGTGCAATTGTAGAGATGCTCACCCGAAGGGTGAATTTTTTACTATTTCGAGCCGCATTTGTCATCGTGCAAAAAAAAAAAATAACGGCCTTAGAACCATCGAGAATGTTATCTCTTCATAGACTGTCACTTTTTTCTTGCCAGATTGATCGAATTTACAGTATCCGCCCGACATATAACGACAGATTTGCCTATGCACGATACAATGCGACAAAAGTGGCTCTCGTCACGCATCCCTTCGTGACCCCGGCATCTAAAGGGGCGCTTTTCAGTGCTGCCCCTTAACGCAATAATTGGTTGGTTCCCCCAGAAATCATTCTTGCCACCCAATGACGACGCGTTACAATTAACGGAGAAAGACGAGCAGCCACGTCCCCGTTTTGATTTCGAAATCTGGATAAACCAAGCGAGAGGAAACCCGCCCTCGACGAAGAGAGACAACGACGGGGGCGTAAATGGAGAAGGACGGAGCCAAAGAGATGGGAACGGGTTAAAGTGGATCGATTCCCCGTGTAAAATTCAGCATCGTTCCGTCGCGTCCTCTCGAGTGGGACACGTTCCCATCGGCGGATACATATCGGTCGAGTACCGACCCTGAAGCGACTCCGGTCTCGCTAACTGCATTGCCCGTGGAGTTTCTCGATCACGAACTCTCGTAAATTTTACCCGAGAACGAGAGGCGCGACCCTAAACTCCTCGTGAAACGTTCTCGGGGGTCGCCGAGGCATATTCCGGGGGTGGAGGCAGATAGCGATGAGCAAAGTCGGTCTTAGTCATTCATATTCGAGTGTTGGTCCTGCTCGGTCGAGTATCGATCTTGGATGGCCCAGTCTTGGTCCAGGTCTCGTAAAAAGTGAGAAGTAAGGACCCGGATCGATTTTGCTGATCGCCAGGCCCAAATCGGAAAAAGGTCCGGGTCGTCTGGTCGGTTCGGCCGATTCCACTTTCTCGCGAGGCCGGACACACGTTTCAATTACGGCCGAGTTTCAATTGCTTCCGTTTCCTCGACTCGAGCCATCCCGCGAGCACGCTCTCCCCTGGATTATCCCCCGGGAATCCGGGAGGAACCCAAGGCTCGCCTTGGGATTGATATTCCCCGGGACTCCTCGGGACAGCTTACGACTCTACTTCGGCCCAGCTTACGCCTGCTTAGAGAATTACCAACGTAGCTGCGAGGTTATGAGTCTTGGGGTTAGCGTCGGACGTTTCCCGGGGTGTTACGAGCGATATCGAATGACAATGGACGTCGCTTCGATGGGTAAATAGAGGCCCAACTTCGTGATCGATGCTCACGAGGACTCGGTACTCGCGTCACCAATTTAGCCCGACCTGCGCGCCCGTTTCTAGCAGTTGGAGTTGGGAATTTGCATTTCGCCCAGTCTCCGACACTCGCCTGATGCCGACAGGGGGTCGAAGAGACAAAGTCGAGCAGAAAAGATCCGTCACCGTTGACGAGGGAAACACGCAACGGCGGTTTTGCATTTACTGCGTTTGGTCAAACCCGTATTAACTGGTAACAGCCGAACTAAATTTGCCTAATTGTACCGAGCCAATATTACAGACTACACGGAGGGTATTGAGGGAACTTTAGTTATAACTCGCCGTTTCTGATCGATATCGAAGGCATGTTGTTTGTCGCATTAGTGCCTGGTAACTCGCCGGCTCGACGAGGTATTCTATAGGTGCATGGATTTCTAATGGCCGAATGCTGGCACGGCATAAAGTACCGGTGGTGGATGATGCGGTTGCCCCGGCACAGCATCAGCAGTTAACCGGAATTGGACTAATTATATGCCGGCGGTTAAAGTCACGTGTCGTCACCGACGGCTTGGTCAGCATTAGATCACCGGTAACGTGGTTTGCGTTTCGGTAATTGCAACACGGTCGAGGATAGACGTCGGACATTTTTCTCCCCCGAAACGCAACGAAACGACGAGCGGCTAAAATCCCGTAATCTAAAATGCATGCGCGCTTCAATTAATTCCCTGCATAATTTTGCAGCCTCGTTGAACGCCAACAATCCACTTCTCGGTCAATCCCCTTTCAAAATCATTGAAAATTCGCGTGGGAATTTGGCGAGGCCCATATTACGCGGAGGTAGGGCGAGAAAGAACGATGGCGGGTCCCATATATCTCGGGAATTCTTTGCGATCGCATAAACCTTCTGTCAAATTTCAAGTTCCGCGGAATAGGCCATAGCTTAAAAGATATGATCATGAGAATGACAAAATGGCGAGAAATATCGCGGGCATATATCTGGGTAATATGGCGGTTACGATGTGTCCTGTGAGCGTTTCAGAGGGCGAACTTCTGCCGGCCGTGGCGGTTCTGACGGGCTGCCAGTTTCAGGGAAGAAATCGAGGTTAGGTCGGCCTCGGGAAGCGGCCTCGTTTGTCTTAATAAAATGCGTCGAATCTACCGCGGGTGCCCCCAAACTTATGGACAGTCATCAGGGAACGCCATTTCTTCCCGTGGCGGAGTCGAATTCATTTTTCCCGCTTCCACCCCGAAACCGTTTGGCTTACCCCGGGACCTCGGAGATACATGGCCTCAAAATTAACAATCTTTCCTCCGCACCGGAAGCGACACCAATAGCGCGGAATTTGGTTCCCATGTAACAAACTTAGCGACGCTCGAACTAACTTCCAGATCGCTTAATCGCGAATAGACGGTAACTTCGACGGAGTAAGGTGATTGCCGCTTGATAAACGCCAGTTAATCGGGATCAAATCTGTATAATTTGAGGGAATACCATTTTGCACGCATGATTTGGTAAGTTTACTTAAACGTTAGTTAATCCAGTGTTAATAGCCTCGCTTAATGAAACGCTCGTATAGGTATTCATTTTACGGTCCAACTCCGAGGCTGGATACAGCCAATCACCTTATCACATTTCAGTTTGTAACCAATCTCGTTATGAAATATCGATTCGAGAGGAAACCCATTAAGCGGAAAGTCCGTATATTGGCGATGCCAATTTCGCCAAACAGGACCGTCGTACCTGCATTCGAGCATCGGATCATTTCAATTCGAATAACCGGCCCGAAACGGTACGTCGTCATGTAAACCGAAATTTAGGCCCATAAGAGAAATTGTTAAAAAAACGCGGACACTTGACTAATAAACTATGACAGTGATTAAATTATTCTACACGGTGAATTATTTTGACCGTCGAGGCCCTGGCGACAATTCGAAAAAATCTTGAGTAGCTAGAGTAGCCCGTCAGAGGCGCCTTGAATAATCGAATATCGCCAAGTCGTTTGCGAAATAATCAAGATGAATAAATGATTGGACCCCATTAGACCGTTTCCCGTGGAGGTCTAAATTACCCATGCCGGATGTGTTCGTTTGTTCCTGCCGGTCGCGGACTCGTCCAGGACGGAAGCGGACTCGTTCGTGCAAACAGACCGGCTGGCTCCCTCTTGCGAAATGTTTAACTTTGCCGATTGCAATCTTTCAGGAGAGGAGAGCTCTCGGCACTTCGAAACCGTGCCGCTCGATGGCGAACGCGCGGCAATTAATCGCGGAAAGAAATTGGGTTTATTTACTTTTCTGAATTTCCAGGAGGCCGAGGGGAGCGTCGCCGACGTCGCTAAAATGCGGATCCCGGTGTCTCCTTGGCCGCGTTGGGCAACCTGGCATTTTAATGTTTTAGGCAACGAGTCGTTATTCCATAATTATTCCAACCGATCGCGGCAGCTTCTTAATTGCGGGCTTCGAGATTGCGGGAGGCACAGAAGTCCGGGAATTAATGGCGGAAAGAAATTGCCGGTTGCCGTTTCTCCTTCCGCTCGGGTTCCATGGTATCGCCGCTAATTTGCTATTTTTAGGAGGGCTTCGCCGTTCCTCGCGTCCGGGTACTGAATACTTTGATTTCCTTCAATTTTCAGACGGAGGAGTAGCGATCGTCCCCTCGCCATTTTCCGAGGCCGAAAAGCCGATTCCTTTTCAGCCGGTGAAGCTGATACTCTCTAGCACGTGTCACCATGCTTACACGTCATGCAAGTAAGTAGCTGCTTCGCGTATACGTTTCCTCCGTGTAAGACTGTATTCATACCGACTCCGACGTTCCTGACGTTCGAATTCCGATAACCAATAAGAGCATCGCATTTTGTGCGGGAAGGACGCGTTCTGGAACAGAATCGGAGCGGACTGATTATCGGATGTCATACGTCCACGTTATTTTTCTTTGATGCCCATCGCCATTCGGGAAAGATCCACCGACGACGGAAAGTACGCTTCTGATTCCGGCGATATTTCATCCATTACCATTGACGTGGGAAAATGATCGGAGATGTATTATTTTCCGAAGCTCCGCGAGGCGATTCCGCATCTCTTCGAAGCTCCGTCAAAGTCTAAGTAGACGTTTCGCTTGCCCGTCTTACAGGAACGATCCGGAATGTAAAACGGCCCTGGAACCGGTACTTAATCGTTGTGAGCAAGCAACGTGCGCGAGAAACGAATGCATGGACGCGTTACAGCATTTTTACAAGACAGCCAGCCAGAAGCACTCCATGGAAATTGCTTTCTGCCTCTGCAAGTAAGTCACGCCAGAATTGCGGTTTAACACCCCACTCGTACGAGAATTTTCACGGCGAAAGAGATTAGTTCATTAATCGCCCGGAATTAAAATTAGCTTCTAGCTGTATATCTTAACGAATTTCTATCCGAAAAAATAATCGATCTCCTTTTCTCCCTTTCTCTCGCGAATTATGCAGCATGCCGAGGGCATTGCATCGGAGCGACGCAATTCGTTCCAAGGAACATTTACGAGCTTAGGACTCGGACTCCCACAGGACATTCGGGATATCCTCCTGACTATAGAGGATTCAGGGGAGAAGTCCACCTTAACGAAGCTGTTTTAACTTTTAAGTGGCTCTCACCCGAGAAACAATGCCGAAACTTTCTGCCCCTCTGTCTCTGCCCTTCGGTTACTTATTTCTACTTGGGTGCTCTTGCCTTTGTCCGAGATTCTTCTCTTCGGTGTCCCCTTCTCGGAGGTTCTGTGCCGGTCCTCGTCCATGTATTTCATCCCGTCTGGAAATTAGGACCGAACGCGACTCGTTTCTTGAATAAATACCCTTTCACCCTCGGAAAGTCCTCCAAAAGGATTCGCCCCGATGTTTCACAGTTCCATACAGCTGGAAATTCGAACGCAAACTCGGAAGAATTTCCCAAGGCGCGTCACCTTGGAGTTTTCACGTTTCCCTCGTTAATTTCAGGAAAACCGACGGAAGACGCGACGAGTGCTTGATCGCCCAGGAGAAGATGCATCCGATGTGTGCCCAAAGGGTCGAGGGGGCAGAAATGCCGACGTGTCACAGCCTCGCCGAAGTATGTCGCGAAGATCGCGGCTGTCGGTAAGTGGACAGTCGGCATGGGTCAACGGGTAGATCTCTCTTCCCTTCCCTCGTCCCAAGAAAATGTATTTTAAATTATACAATTAGGCGAAAAGGGGAGGACAAAGAAAAAGACTTCACAGGGCGTCCTCCTTTCCGTCCTCCGGTTAGGCGCCCTGACGGAAAGTAGGGAATCCTCCACCTCTCTTTTCTTTTCCCTGTTTCAAGTACGAATCTCCAAGTAGAATGCACCTTACCTTTGTTCGGAATCCGGCATCGATCCTCGCGACCTCCCCGAACTCTCCCGGAATGATCTGAGGGCGATTTGGAAGGCAGACGATTTTCCTTGAGATAAACGCCTTGACGAGTTTTCCCTTTGCCAGGTTCCCTTAGAAGCCCCCAACTAGCGGAATTTGATGTGCAATTTGACGTGGAATTGGGCAAAAAAAAAAATACGTCGTTACCCTTTAAAAGGGATCGGTTAATCGAGATCTGGTATGATTTTCTAGGAGCTAATTCTCTCAAGCTGTACGTAATTTAGTATGCGCGACAGTTGACAAACTGAACATCCGCAAAAAGAAAGAAAAAAAAAATCAGCCAACAAGCATCAAGAGGCAGGACGTTAGTACATGCTCCGGCGGTACTTTTTCAAGTTAATGTCGCGCTATACATCAAGCCAGTTTTGCCCGGTATTTTATGCCGCTATGTATTATCCTGAAATCGTTAAAACCGCCCCGAAGAATTTTATTTCGGCATTGTACCGTAAGGAAGACCTTCATTTGAATGAAATCGATCCTTTTGACAGAGGACTTGCGATTTATTATGGCCGGAATAAATGAAATTCGCCAGCGGCCCGCTCCTCGGTCATAAATTTCCTTCGGCTGTAATAAAACGCAATATTGCGGTGAATTAAAAGGGTTTACTTCCACGAAGGAGATATTTGTCGACGTGCAATTTACATACGTATCGTTATTTCCCTCTAATAAATATTTTTAATAAGTACAAAGTACTTTCGTCCGCGCGTAAACGATTTATGATCTCACCTCTACAAATCGCTTCGGCAAGATTTCCATCCTCGCCGGCTCTTTCGGAAGTTCCAGCGAAATATTTCCAAAGGAAACAGGAATTATTCGTTAACACCTTTCCCAAATATTTTGCAACATCCCGGGATTATTTCGCAGGACGAAGCTCGAATACTACGAGCAAAACTGCGCCGTGGACAGCGTAACTAAAAAGTGCGCCGGTCCTCCGGCGGAATGTCGAAGAGCGATGTTGGGCATTCTCGGAACGGAACTTAGATCGAATTGTGCTTGCAAAGGAACCGATTTTACCCAACTGTACGATTGCCTGGGTTGGCAACGACTCCTGTGGGTGAATCCTTGCGTCGGTAAGTGGTAGAGAATTCCAAGTAGGACGAAAAGCGTAAAAATTGGGCACTTTCGATAAGATGAGAAAATGAGCTGGGTAATATTTCCTCCAGGCGGGAAGGTAATACTTTTGAGATTAAGATCAATCTCGCGAGCTAGACGCGTGACATAGAAACGTTAACGTTACAGTGGAGTCTCAGAAGGACTTCCACGCGCGAAGGAAACATCATCACCATCTCAGGACCACGACGACATCGATCGCAGCCACGATGAAGAGCTCGAGCACCACGCCGGTAGTCGCCGAGGAACCGGAGGACAACTTTATACCGGATGTCACTAGGAGAGCAACGACCACGGAGCCCACGGAACCGTGGGAAATCAGTACAACTGTCGTCAGCACTACGCCAAGTACCACCACCACCAGTACGCCTCCACCGCGTGAGTGAATCCCCCTAAATTCGAGATAATCATCGATATTCCCGATCGAGTCGGATTTCACCTCGAGAGACCCTCCGCCAAGAGAAATTCCTCGTCCTTCTCGAGGACGAAATTTCGAGATGGTCCTCGAATCTCGCGACTACGCCTCCGAAATGCCCCGGAAATTCGGCGGATTTTTCGAGATGCAATAAATCCACTCGAAAGGGGGGAAGGGGAAAATAAAAAGGGGAACGAATTCGATTTGCGACGCTTCTCCTGGAGCGTATTTATAGTTATTTATAGCGGCTGAGGTCGAGAGGGAAAAGCTCGTAGGTTCGACCTTGTGCTTTCAGGTTTCTGCGTGGTCCAGAGGCCCAGACAGGCTCACCAGTACATCCGAGAAGGGAAGGGCAAGAGGGTAAGTTCGGGGCTAAAAGTCCCAAAATCCCCGGAGTCCTTACAATCGCCGTGAGAACGACTTCCGAGCTTCAAGCCGAGCTTTCGCCGCGGGCTGACAAACGACGTATTTACATTCCGCGGTTGAAAAAACCGACGGCAGAAGAGGATCCTGCCGACACCCCCGCGCTTTCTTCCTCAGGGTTTCGATCGCCTCGCGATATCGAAAGAGGGGTAAACTAGTCGCCGGTTAAATCCGCCAGATAATCCGCGATTATGCGTAAATCGGATTTTCTGGCGAGGATCTTTCAATCGGCGGATCCATCGGGGAAATTCTCGCTGACAATGAGATTTATCGGGATCGGCCGACCAATGACGATTCGGAAATGCGACTGGAAATTAATTTCTCGCTCTATCGCGCCCATAAGCATCCCGGATGGATGACGTCCGAGCCAGGAAAGGCGTTCTCCGGAACTGGTCACTCCGTCTTCCGGCCCAGGGGAAATTCTGTCCCCTGCAGCCGAATAATTTCCCTCACCCCGCGCCATGGGTACGGGAAGGCGAACGATTCGGCCGCCGATTAAATACGCGAATTGCGCGACATTATCCGTGATTATGTCTCCATTCGATTCCGACGCGAGCCCCGATTAGCGGATCGATCGCTCGAGACTCGCCGAAGCATGGGTTCATGTCGAAATTAGCCTCGATCTAATCGGTCGATGATTGTTCGGTAATGCGTTCAGGCCAGAAATTGATCTTTCACGCGAGTGCGTGCTCGTTACGTCGCGAATCGCGAAATTAGGTGTCCCTGTAAAACGGCGTGACGGGGAATTTCATCGTATCCTTTGGATTCAGCCCAAATGAAACTTCATCTCAAGGATCACCCAAACATGAATGCCGTGAAACAGAAAAAGGCCTTTAGAATCTGCTCCTCGAGATTCATCGAAAAGTTCCTCCTATTTTAAAAAGTCACGTCGGATAGTGGAAAACTAATTTCCACTGTCGCCGTTAGTAAGGTTCGCGGGCATCGGGCCGAGCTTTTATGATCTGGGAAAAAGTGAAAAACCAGTGGGCCGGTATTTTCAGTTCGTGGACAAGCAAACCGTCGCTGGAGGGAGATCCTTCCCACAAAGGCTCGTCTTTCTCGGCTGAATTTCGTTCGCTGTGCTCGGCGCAATTTCGGCCTCTTGGCAATACCGATGCGGACAGGTAAACGCGACTCGGCGCCGATTAAATCCGCGAATCGAGCGAGATTATTTCCGATTATGTCTCCCCCGGATTTTCACTCGACCCTCGTTGACGAATCGATCGCTCGAGGCTCTCTCTGATGCCTTGGTCCTGTAGGACGATAATTATTCGTAGCGGTTCGGCCAGGAAGTGATCTCTTCGTCGACCACGCGCACGTATGCAAAAAAGAATTACAAACGGAAAATTTTTTTCGCGACGATAAAAATCCTCGATAAAAATGACTCTCCGCGTGGCTTTCTGGTCCCACCTCGAGGAATAATTTTTAATCGAATATTTTCTCTCTTTTACATTCCTAGCTGTACAGAGACGACGAACCCGAATGTTCGGAGCTCTGTCAATGCAGCGAGGGGGAGGTTCTGGTGTGCAACACGATTTGCGTGGAATCTTCGCCCTGCAAATCTGACTTCGCCTTCTACAACCATGCTGCGCCTGCGTACCAAGCTTTCAGAGGGCGATGCCTTTGTTACAGCGGTCGTTTCATCTGCATGCGACCAGCACCTGGTAAGCATTTGCCGTTGTAATCTCTGTGTCACAGATCGAGTTCAAACAGGTGAATCGATAACGGCTAGTGCCTCCGATACACCTAGTTATAACATAGGCCCAGCTATCACACCGAGCTTTCGACACGGATAACGTCGACATATAAAGTGCCCCTCAAAAGCAGTTCCCTAAACATAGGAAGGATCGGTGCAAAGTTAAAAATTAAAATCACGGTCCATTGTAGTATCGAGCCGTTTCCACTTTCAAAGCGTGTCGATTTTTCAAACGATTTCGTATAATCGTATAATTTTCCCCGGTTGTCGTATGGACGTGCAGTAATTAATTTTCAATCGATTTTGTACATCGGTAGGTGGTCGTTCCACCGATGGAATTTTTTTACCGATCGCTTTCGAAGTGCATCCTCTCTCCGGTAGTTTTTGAGCTCATTGGGGGGTGAAAAAATTCAACGATACGATTGCGATTGCGAGGAATCGCGGCGATATATCGAGGCGATAGAGTCGTCGTTGTCGCGGACATAAAAAGCCCGAGCTGCTTCAGAGGCCATACGAGAGGATTACGAGTCGGTAAAACGAGAATTTCCAAGTTCGCGCTCGGCTAATTCCGCTTTAGTGTTTACAGCGGTAAATTGGGATTTGCAAGAATAATGCCCCTTACGTGTAACTGCGCCCGAGCGTTAGAATTCCCTGATCGTGATATATATCCCGGGGTCGCAGATAAGTCAGACATTGAATGCGTACTTCCGCCACTTAGAGGCCATATGGATGATAGATGACATAATTATCGATACTCGAAAGATAAATTTACCAATACTCCAGGAAATACCCCGACGTTAAGGGGAATCCTGCTATTAGGGAAATTTAAATCGCCCGGGTAATGACCAGGTCCGATATCAAATCCCTGCCATCCATGAATAAATCGACAACGGTGTGTTTCTCTTTTTACGCGTATGTCCTCCCTTTTTAATTATTTACCTGAATATTGCCTGTCAAACAGAGGCATACAGTATCCCGCGAGGTGTGTTCATGTTCCTGGGATACAGCGAACGGGACGAGGAATTGTTGAGGCCTCACAATAATCTTACCGTGCTGGACGCGGTGTCCTCATTGGACAGCTTTATGCGACAAGAGGTGAACAATCAGGTGCGCTTGACGTGAAATTATTTACCAAGATATTTTATATAATTCTTATTATATCTATCCCGTTGGATTATGCTGTTGAAGCGATAGAATTAATACTGAATCTATTTTTTTTTTATGGATCCGTCAGTTATCATTTTTTATCGAATTCTTGCGCGTCGAATGCTACTTCTCGAAACGAACCAAACAGAGATAATTCCGGATATTGTATGAAAATATTTCAATAAGCATTTTCGTCGGACGAGGTAAAGTGTTCCGGCATATGAAAGAGAGGCTGTACGTTTCGTTTCTTATTTGTGCTACAGACTGTGTGCACTCTCTTCTTGTACAACATAACAAAGGAGAACGTGATAGCTGTTGCTCGACTTGGATCGGACAATCCGCCATTGAATAGCAGCGAAGCACAGAGCTTGCAGCATCTACTCCGTGTCAAGGTAAGCAGGAGCATGCATGTCAAGTGTACATACCGTATGTCATACTATTTACCGTCGTACGAATAGAAGTCTTTCAGCGCATCTTTTTCAGGTGATTCTATACCTTGTCGCCTCAATGTTATAAGGTTTTACGTTCATCTACGGTCTATGAACGATTCAACGTGGAACTCGCGTTCATTTTAGAAATTCTAGAAAATTTATAATCATACAATTACGTCTGACTACGTAGAGAAAATATCGTATTGTTATCCCACGGGTATAGCATGAAAATAACGAAGAAACTCGGGAGTGAAGCTTCATCGTGCCATTTTTGAGTACGCGATATGTATAAGTTTGCGTTGTCATGGGGAATCTTCAAAATAGAAACTCAAAGTATTTTAACTAAACAAGAAAAATTGAAATTAACCTTGCAAAATTCCGCGCGTAATATATCAATTCGATAAATGGAAAATTATTATCACAGGAGTGGAGAGGATCGAAGGATTTTGATTCAGATGCAATCGAGATATATTTCATTCGTTAATAATTTGGCAGTTCACCGATTCCACATTGATGACTTCGAATACACCTTATCGGTGTAATGAGCTCGCATTGGCCCTTTCATTAGAAAGTTCTACACATTATTAGCGAGCTCCGTTATTAGCGACAAAAGACTCACGAAGTAAATTATCTCTTTGAGAAGTACGAGCTTAATAACTCCATCTAATTGGAGCTCCGGGAGCTCGGCATCATTTTCGAAATTTCCCATAAGTTTGAAAGACTTTGAAATAGTTTCCCGCTACCGTGTCAAAGCGAGTAATCTCCTTCGACGACGTTTCCGTACCCACAAATAATTTTGTTTTACTTAATCTTCTACAAAAAAAAAAATCAATTCACTGGTGTTAATTTTTTTTTAAATTGAATCGTCTTATAGAAAATAATCTAAGAAAATGCTTTAAAAATATTGTTAAAAATCTGTATGACTCTGCCGATGGCAGATTCATTCGAGGTTTGCCGAAAAACACGTAGAAATCTTTTAAGCCGTCCTGGGAATGTCCGTTCGCGCTACCAAATTAATTCCAGTTTTGGGAAAATCAATCAACTGGCGATGGGCGCGATGGAATATTATTACGTGGCGCGAGGCTGCGAGCAATAAGCACCGCGATCAGATGAATTTCCGAAAAGCGAGTCGATCCGCCATATACTTCCAGGCCGATCCGCCATTTCCAATTTGCCGCTTACAATTTGTAATTTGCAATTCGATGAGAACCTAGATCCGAATAAATGACTGCAGCCGAATGTCGAAACGGACCGCGAAAAGGGAACGCGCTCCGCCGAGTATTTCGATTCGCGCTATAGTTTCCGGCTTTTAGCTCAAAGCCAAACCGCAAAACCGTGCCGGCATTCCGCTACGATTTTTCCCGCCTCCTTGTTCGCCAACATTTTTCGAATTCCCCGAGAAAAAGCCAGGAACGTAGCTTGGCGCGAGGTTTTCAAGAGAGCGAATGATTTTCACGGAGCAATTGACTCCAATTAAAATGGTGCCGAAAGGCATATTTTTTAATATCATAAACTAGGAATTAATATTTGGTTATTGGGGGTACTTTTACATAAATCCGTTTTCTCGTGGCGTTGACGTTTCGCCGATTAACTGCAAGACCTCCTTTACTTCGTCCTGAATAAAAGTCGATTAGCATACGCCCGAAACGCACCCCCGATTGTCTGGAAGTTAGGTCGGGAAATTTCCGAGTTTTTGGCATGTCTTCGCGACGTGACGCGAATTTTCCGGGCGTTTACGTAAGAAGTGGAGTCACGGGCCAAGTCGACCTTAAACGGGCCGTAAACCCATCCTTAATTTCGCCCTTGCTCGCCAGCCCCGAGTCGTTACTTTCTCGTGTCAAATCTGATTCAAGAGATGGCCCAACTTTTCGATCCACCTGATTTTCGATCGGACTCTCGTGACCGATGCTTCCCAAATTCCCATATCTTCTAATCCATCCGCCTCGCCTATAAAGAACCTGACAAAAAATGAAACCTCTTTTGATTCATGGCAACTCAAACGCGTTTTCAAAGATACGTAAGATTGGATTATGAACCCATTATTGGAACAAAGCAGTCTGTTCCAAAGCCGAAGCTTGATTCCCCTAAAAAGCAACAAAATGTCGAGGCTCCTCGAAAACTACCTCGTACACGTCTATGTGAAAAGTGGTCATTTGGGGTAAAATAAAACATGGAGGGCCTCCGAAAGTTGAGCTTCCACTCTGTTTTTCCCACTCGTCCACACCTCACTCCTTAACCTGAGTTTTCCCCAAAGCTGGCGGAAACAAACGCGTTAACAATCCCTCGGAGTTTCATATTTTGGCACCCAGTACACAATTATGAACGTACCCGCGATAAGTGCTATCACGCCTCCGGCTGTTGAGAGTGTCATTTCCGACCCTGGAACAACTGAGTTTAATTGCTAACGTGAAATTAATATTTCTTCGAATTAATATCCATCAAAGTGAGCTTAATAAATCATGCAAACCTGTAACTCGTGAAATGATTATTTCAATTAAAGTGACATCGGTGAAAAATATGGATGAGGGGGAAATGCGTGTAATACATTTTTTTTTATTATTCGTTATTAATCTATTTCATGAATTTTCAAGGAAAGATCAAAGGTTTCGCGTCATTCGACCTTTTCGAGCTCTTTGAGTCGAACTCGCTCAGCTCATTTCGTAAGCTTCCATTCCCGATGCCTGCAAATGAGTTTCTAATAAAGCGATCGCTCGTCGACGCCGGAATTACAGAGACGCAAGGGATGTAAAGCACGGCTTCCAATGTCGTAAATCGTCCGGGACGAGCTTCGGCGTCGTTCGGCTAAATTTCGAAAATCCCCCTGGAATTTCACCTGATCAGCCAGGGCAACCCGTCTCCTGAATTAACCCTTAAATTGGTAATTCACCCTCGGCGGTACTTCCGATTTATATAAACAATTCGCTAACAAGAGAAGCAAGTTCGCGCGTGCGACAAAACAGTCCTCGAAATGTCCACGAAAAAGTGAGAAGTAATTTCAACGTCACGGTTTTGACAAAAAATACTTTCAGCCAACCTTCCATATATATTCTAAAGTATATCGCGTCAAAGTCGTGACATAAAAATTCACTCTTCGCGCGGGTAGAAATTCCTCTCGCTTCGTAGACCCACTTTAAAGGGCCGAAAATAATTTAAGGGTTTTTCAAAAACCTGAAATCAAGGTGCGGCATACGTTATGCGGAGGAAGCAACGGTACATGCACTCCCTGTACCCAACTTACGGCACGTTGTAACGAACTTTACATACGTTAGAGTATTGCTAGGAGAAGCATCGTTAACGTGTACGTGCGCCCCGCTTTTGAATTTTGCATTCAAGGCCTTCATCTAATTTCCTCATTCCGCGTTTTCATTTACATCCGCCGTCGTTAATCGTAAAATACATAAAAGTAGTGTTTCTTCAGCCGCGTAACAAACAATGCGACGAAAAATTGAAAATGGAAACCAAACGCGGCAGAAACGAACGACTCCTCGCGAGAGCGATTCTTCTTCTTCGACTTATGCAAATGTGAGAAAAAGCGTTTAAAAAAAAAAATAGGACGTTCCCGGAGGATCTAAAACTCCTCGGGATTTTCAAAGGGGACAACATTTTCCTGACAGGTACCTGTAGGACCGAGAGACACGGTGCAACGATCATCTCCGAAAGTGCGCGGGCAAATGTGGAAATCTAGGAAAGGGTAGGTGCAATAAGTGGGAGGGATGGGAGGGAGAAAGAGGAGAAAATAACCAGTCAGAGTTGGCCAAGGTGGTCGACCTGTCTTCCGTGGATGTAACGACTACCTCGAGGCCAGTAAGTCCGCTCGATTCCCCAACCCCCTGTGCCTCGACCTCACCCCTCGACAACCGGGACTCTCGTCTCGTTCGATAGATCGAAATACGCTATCCGGCGGCAATAAAAGAAATGAACTCCTCTAATCCCAACGGGAAACCACCCCGTACCCTTCACCCGCGGACTAGACGTTATTTAGTTGGCACCCTTGCGATATATATCCGCGGCCTGGGGTGGTACCGCTCTCATCTGCTCGATACTCCAAATTTCTCCGACGTTCGCGGCGTAAAGAAATCCGTCAACGACGCTGCCACCTATGGATTTTATTCCGCGATGGCAATATCTGCTGATCAAACGTTGAATCTAAAGGTAACACATCCGAACGCGTATATGTACAAGGCAAGGACGTGTACGCGGCGTATACGTAAGGCATGTGTAACGAGGGGTGAACTTTTCACTTACAGTGGGGGGTAACCGTCGACGTCGACTCGACTTGGACGAGAAATCTCTGGTGCGATAATTTCGAATCGGATCCGGTAAAGGGCCAGTTCGCGTCGTACTTCCTCCTCGTATTTGTCGTATTCGTCGAGACGAAGACCTTTAAAGAGGGCCGGCAAACTCTTGGTTCTTTCTCCCCTTTGCCGTGGGCCATGGGGAGGGGAAAAGGTGGAGGATCTAATGGTACCCTGACGACGTTTTCGGATGAGAACCGACCTACCTGACCATCTGTGCAAGTGCGGGACAAAAGGAAGGTGGACGAATGGCTGAAAGCTCCGAGGAGGAGTGAAGGGTGGCCAGAAGAACGGAAGTAGCTGCAAGGGGAGGCAGGCAAGACGAAAACTAGGTGAACGAGCTGGAGGTTGAATCTCTGAAACGGTACGGAGCCTCTGAATTATTAAACCCACTGAACGTCTTTATCTCTCGTTTCTCGTCTTTTCTGCCCTCTTTAGTCCTACTCCGGCGTTTGCGCGAATTACGGATAGTTACCCCCGCCCTTTTGCTCGATAAGCATCGAGATATCGCAAATCGAGCCTTGCTTTTGGTCCTCCCAGGAGAGAAAATCGAAGACCCGGAGTTTGGAAAAAGTAGCCCATTTAAAACTGAATTTCTAAGCGAAGAAAGAGTCTTTAGGGAGGAACCTCGAGGAAAGAAGAACGATATATAAATCAGAGTACATA